TATATATATATACCTGTAAACTTAATATATATATTTGTACTTGGTTATTCAAAATAGGTCCTCAAAACTGACTGAAAAGTGAAAAAATTGAATCAGGAAAAGTCTGGATTTTTTTTTAGAAAATTGCAAATGCAGTTTTGAAACGAAGTAAATCTTAAATATGTCACACATTTTTTATTTGATTTAGGGGCTCATTGTAAGATTGTCTTTTAATAAGTAACAACTTAAAAAAGAAAACTTTTTTACTTGGTTCCTTGAGTGTTTTCTTACCATCTGTAAAGTTATCTAATATGAAGCATCTTTTTTTCTTTCTTTTTTTTTTTTTTTTGCACTTTTGCAGCAACTTCAAGAGCGCAGTGCTGACCAAGATGACAGAGAATGTCTGAAACAGGCCCTCACAGCCTTGCTCAACCTTCAGAGTAGCATGGARCGCATCCTGGCTAAATACCATATTCGGCGCAGGTACAACTACAGTATAGCTGGAAATCTTGTGCTGTTTTCTGTTTGTTAAACAAAAGTTTATAGGATTTATGTGGTTTGATGTTCAGTTTATATTTTAGGCTTTGCTGTTTCTGATGAACTTTACTCTTCCCTTACAGTGAGCCCATATACCGCCTGTACAACCGGCAGGTGCGTAGCAAACAACAAGCCATCAAGCGCATGACGGAGATCCAGAAAAGTATTGACGGTTGGGAAGGGAAAGACATTGGTCAGTGCTGCAGTGAGTTAATTCATGAGGGGCCCCTTTTTCGAGCAGGTGCCAAACATGAGAGACACATCTTCCTGTTTGATGGCCTTATGATCAGCTGTAAGGCCAATCAAAGTTCACGGCTCCCAGGGTCCGGTAGCAGTGCAGAGTATCGCCTCAAGGAGAAGTTTGTGCTGAGAAAGATCCGTGTCTTGGACCGTGTGGACACGGTAGATCTGCAGAATGCTTTTGAACTAATAGGCAAAGATGAAAGCAGCTCAATTTTTTGTGCACGGACATCGGATGACAAAGCTCTTTGGATGGCAGCACTGGTGACTCTTCAGTACCGTTCTACTTTGGATCGWATGTTGGACACAGTACTGCAGACTGAAGAACAGGAACATCCTTTGAGATTGCCCTCCCCAGAGTTTTACCAGTTTGCTGAGCAAGACTCTGGWGAAAATATAGTGTTTGAAGACAAAGTGCAGAGCAAAACTGGTATTCCTATCATTAAGGCTGGCACAGTGGTCAAACTCATAGAGAGGCTCACCTACCATATGTATGCTGGTAAGTAGTACGAGTAGTCACACTAGTACAAAGATAATTGTAGTCTGTTTTTATTTAGGAGTCTACTGCATAATAATTTCTTTCTTTGTTTTGTAGATCCTAACTTTGTGCGCACATTTCTTACCACTTACCGATCGTTCTGTACACCCCAGGAGCTTCTCACCTTGCTTATAGACAGGTACGGTTCACGAGAGCAGCTACTGAATACATTTTGCTACAATTATTTCATGTGTCGCTTTTTAGATTGTGTAGATGTAGATTATTGTTGCCATCATGGTCTAATATCAGATTCTGACGATTTGAGCAAAAATATCACGTATTGGAACAAGAATTTAAAAATTCATGAATAATTTTCTTTTAAAAACAAAAATTGAATTGGAACATTTTTATTTCTGAATAGTTCTACAACTTGGTTAGCTACAAGAAATTAGCTAGATAATAAATAAATACTGTGTGTGGGACATACGGTATAGTGTGTAGTCTGAGAGGATGTGTGAGTGTGTTGGCAGTGTGCAGGTGTGGGGGTAAACTGGTTCGTGTCCAGGAGCAATGGGGAACAGTCTTTCACTGTGACGTGAAGCTTTGGTTTTCACTAGCTGCATTTCCATTGACCATGAAAATGTGCAAATTAGAATTTCGAAAATAAATTTGCTCAATGGAAATGCGTCAATTTCGAAAATAAA